AATGCAACGCAGAACTCAGAACCTCGTTCCTGAAGAGATCCTCAGTGTGTAACAAATTGAATTTCAGGTTTAATCAGAATGCAACGCAGAACTCAGAACCTTGTTCCTGAAGAGATCCTCAGCGTGTACAATGGAGATCCTGAACACGCGAAACCTCTTGTCTCCTTCATTAATCCAACAAAGCATTTATGGAAGCTTTCCTGCTCATGGTGTAGATCCATCATGATGCATCAAACAAGGATTCACGTTGTTTACTGTTTACCGGCCAAACGTCTGTGTACCAAGGCTCATCCTTCGCCCAGTTGGCATCGCTGAAGTAGTACTCCACCTGCAGGCGGAACATGGAACAGTACTCCATCTGTGGATGTGAAACTGTCACCTCGGGCTTTGGGGGGGCACATGTTGCATGATTACATGACTGATGCCAGCTACTAGGCCGTCGCTACGCCCGGGTGGAGCGCAGAAAACGCCCGGGTTCGTTCCACTTGCGTTGTCTCAAAGCCGCCTTTCAGCGGGAATAGTCCCTCACATCCGTTTCGGGCACGCCACCCGTGAGGATCATCATCAATCTCCACACCAAGACAGTCCCAGGTCCGGTGTCACCCAGGCGGCCAAGCCATGGATTCCTCCAAAAAGTAGCACTGTCCAAGCAGAGGCGCATGCGAGGCGCATGCGGATGAATAGGTTTTGACTTTTTCATATAGAACATATACACAAACAATCACAAACATCCCGCCGGGTGTGGAATCGCACGTGTAGTCGTGCAAATGTTGATTCAAAAGTGCAAGCCCTCTCAGTACTTTTGCTTGTTCGATGATGTTTTTTGGGGGTCCCGGATCCTTTCATTTTTAAAGCCGAATCTGCCGAAACCCAAGCGCCAGCGCAAAATCCGTCGCCGTTTTTGTCCCGGGCACTTGCTCCGCTGCGGAATGCGGCAAAGACACGGAAACAAATACACTTGTAAGCTTCCAACATGTATTACGCTCGCCCCGTGTGATATGCAATTGTACGTGCGTTCGACAGAGAAACGAAAATCGATGACATCGATGACAATGTTATGAAAACGATGACAATGTTATGCGACCGACGAGATATAATGTAGTGAAACCGATGACAATGCTATGATACCGAAGATTACTTGTCGTGAAATCGATGACAATGTTCTCAGCATGACATCCACATCCTCATTACATCACAACCCCCCCACCCCCCACCCCATTTTAATCACACGACTAATCGATGACAATGTTATGAAACCGATGACAATGATATGATACCGAAGATTACTTATTGTGAAATCGATGACAATGTTCTCCATGACATCCACATCCTCATTCCATCACAACCCCCCCCCACCCCATTTTAATCACACGACTAATCGATGACAATGTTATGAAACCAATGACAATGTTGGCAAACCGGTGACAATGTTATGAAAACGATGACGATGTTATGAAACCGATGACAGTGCTATGAAAACGATGACAATGTTATGAAACCGATAACAATGCTATGAAACCGAAGATAACCTTAGTATAAATAGTTATCCACATCAGCCCACCCGTCCTTTCAGGTAGCATCAACTTCAGGAAACAAGTGCAAACGAACGTCAATATGCCCCATCCCACCCCACCCCAACCCCCCCACCTTTCACGTAGCATCAACTTCAGAAAGCAAGTGCAAACGAACGTCAATATGCCTCATCCCACCCCAACACAACCCCCCCCACCTTTCACGTGACGTAGCATCAACCTCAAAAATCGCAGTAGTCACACGTTCAGTTTTACACCCGTAGGCACAAACATGAATCAACTATCGCATGCAGTGCCGTGGTCACCTATGTTGACCATTTTGCACTCCAAACCTGGTTTCTGGAGTCCCCGCCCCCAGACTTTGCAAGACAAACAGAATCTTAAAGGAATACGATTGACTGAATTCCACGTTCACTAATGGCCTTCAGTACGTTTGACCCATGTGAACGCTGTCGTGGCACCCGGAGCCCTTTTTTGCAGCCCCGTGGTACGTTCACCCTTGAGGTACAGTAGCAGTAGCAGTCTTTGGGCCACCACATGCCACCAAGTTGTTCCTCAATGCTTCTTTTGCCATCCATCTCTAAGGTGAGGATCTGCAATCAGTAGATTCAAATAGACTCTAGCCAAAGCCTGAAAAAAATGTATTCATTTCCTGGGGGTTTTGGCCACTGTAATGGCCTCCTCGCAGTTCACCCAGCAAAAACTGCTTCACATGACGCAGCATCCCCGCAAGAACAAGAATCACAGCACCCCCCAAAAAAGCCAGCTAAGCATTCGGAATCCGAAGCATGGGACACGGTTGCACGGTTGCGTCGCGTCGTAACGCTCGAACGCTCGTGGCTTCGCCTGCTTGCGGATCGCCTTGCTCAGCGTCTTCAGCTTTCGATTCACAAAGTCCTCCGGCGCCTGCTGGAGGACCACGACCGTCCGCGAGCGTCACTGGTGAAGCATTCCCCCACGGGCGGCCAGCGTGATCGCATCTCATCTTGAATAAGATCTGTTTTAAAACACATTAAAAGCAGTCGTGCAGCAGTGCATGTAGAGAAAGTGGATCTCCCCAACGTCTCAGTCCCCCTCGGACATTCCATGTGGACCGAACAGCTCGGTGGCGGGACTGGACCGACACCGTTAGAAGCCGGGTTCCCCGGTCGCGCCTGGCCGCTCGGGACCTCCAAATCGCCCAGGACTGGATGAGAGATGGCCACCGCCTCTGACGAGAGCGTTTCGGTGCTCGAAGTCTTTTTCGGCACCCAAACGGTCCAGTGGCTGGTTCCCATGGTCCTCTTACCCCACACTCTACCCCGGGCTAGGACTGGAGTCCAGTCCAAATAGGACAAAGTGCTGGTACGCGTCGTTTAGCAACTGGAAACTCGTGAAGGTTTTTGTAAGCCTGAACCTGGATGACAAAATTGGTTGGGGTTTTCATGTGATGTTGGTTCTCGCACAATCCTAACTATATCCAAGAAAACTGAATGTGTGAATGTTAAACCATGTTGTGAGATTTTGTGGGTACAAACATCCCCCACAAAACCAGGTCGACATTAAAATCCAAAAAAACAAATTGCAAATCCTGAAGTAGAGAAAACCAACACTGTACATGTCTTGTTGTTGTAGGTGTGAATCACAACCAAACAACCCAACACCCAATTGGGAATGTGCTGGTTCGTTGCCACATTAATTTGCAACCCCTCCAACAGAAAGAGCGAGCGCTTTCTCAGTACCCACAATAACATCGCATACAGAACAATACAAGCTCAAAGCTGCCCAAACAACACGATCAAAACATCGCACAAAACACTACACGATGCCTTAAAAGTATATGGTATACCGGTATACCCCCTCACCCTAGCCGCTTCCGAACGCTGGGCACCCTGCCTCTCCATCCTTCTTCAGCGTGAAGTTCTCCTTCGCCTTCACCGGCGGCCAAGGCGGCAGCACCGGCGCAGGCGGCGTTGCCGGCGGCGATGCCGGCGGCGGCATTGGCCGCGCACGCTTGAGGATCTCTTTCGCCTGATGAGCCGCCTCCCAGGAAGTCAGCCGAGTGTCCTCAGTGGGAAGTTTATCTTGGAGCTTCTTGAAGAACCTGTAAACAAAGACTTAGGGGATGACGTTGGGCCCCACACATCTGCAACAACACTTATACACCATCAAAACGGATAATTGTGTTTTGGTTCAACCCATTTGACAGTTGGTAAGCGGGTTCAAACATCCAAACAACAGTTACAGTTGAACATAGTATCTGACACCACCACAGAAAACAACGCTTGTGCAGCATCAAAACACACCCACAAAAGAGTGGATCCGCTGTATTTCAATGTTCAATTCTGGTATGCAGTCGACACACAAGTCTTGTGTTGGAGCAAGGTTTTTGGTTAGGAGTGTCATGTAAGGTGGTTTCACGGGTCAATGTATATAGGTCACCGATCTGGGAAGCGCACTCAACGCAAGTGGCGTGCTAGACAGCCTCTGAAGAGGCCGTTTGAAACACACAGAAATGTATAATAAAGGTGAAGGCCAAGGCAGTGAAGGCAATAAAACAATGGCAAACACCCGAATCTGGAGCTCTGTTCCAGCTTTTGCTCAGATTCTTGTTTCCAGCTTTTGCTGGCTTTTGTGTAGTGGTTTTCCTGGTCTGGGTTCGGCTTTTGTTTGCCTGCCATATATATATATATATATATCATGTCCAATTGATTTGACAATGATCCCCTGGACCCTCGCAAGCTTTTCCATCTGGGCGGAAGAATACAACCGCGTCTTCCTGGGGTCGACTATAGATCCAACCGGGATCCGCCTTTGTTTGCCATAATGAGATTGCGAAATGAGGGAGTCAAAAGCTCAAACTAGCTGACTTCCGCAGTTTCCCTGGAAAATACAAAAATCAAGCTTAAAGGTGATCCACTCACTAAGTAGGCAAAAAGTTTTGAAGTTATACTTTGGTCAAGTCAAGCTTGCTTCCTTTCGCCAAAGAACATCATGCACCTCACCACCAGACTTCGCGTGGTGCTTCTCGATCTTGGCGCGTTTGGAGCCTTTGTCCCCGCTCTCAGGCTCCTTCTGGTTTCGTGTGCATACTCATGAAGTGCCAAAGGTTTCTAAGAACTAGGCCGACGATGGATGTCCACCGACGATGACTGCTGTTCTCATCTGTTGCGAAGAAGAAACCTAGCATGGCCCGCTCCAACACCAACACCTGTGCCTCTTAAACAATATACCTGCGATACCCTGCGGATTTGCTACAACATGCCATACTACCTGCAAATCAAGACGAGCAACGCAGTGTCTCAATCCTCTCAAAACGAATCAAAACGATCGGCTCACTTTCAGCCATGAACAAGAAATTTCCGGACTCCTTCCAGTCTGCTGTCCCTCTGTGCATTCCTCCCATCATCGGTTCCACCAGTTCCACATCCTTGAGGGCGGGGGTCGCCTGGGTACTTGAGACGCGAGGCGGACCTGACAGGCCCTGATTTCGCTGCACAGGCCTGGGCTGCAGAATGGACCACATGCATTCCTTGTATAGAAAACATTCAGACTGTTCTCATATGTTCTCATTACTCATTTGTGGGACAGCGCCACAGTGCCAGCACGGGGCTGAAAGAGAGGTGGTAGTCAAGTCGAACAAACATCAAACATCATTGATTCATCAACCCGACCACAGGCCACATCTCCAACCAAAAAGAGCCACAAAGACCAATAACAGGAAATAAACACTGCCACCGACCCCCACCCACAACAAGTCAATTATGGCCTTATGGCAAAATAGACCCAAAATTAGTCGCCCCTTGAAACCTCCTACCAATGGTGTGTGAGAGAAATTAGGGCAGTACTATTCTGTGTCTTAAGTATTCTTAAGTTACGACCTTCACAGGTCAAGCCTCCACCCACATCCATCTCATCCAGCTCCACCCCTCTTTCGCGTTCCTCCATTTTGATCTCCCCATTCGCCTCCGTACAGCTTGGACCTCGCGCCGTGGACGAGACAAGCTCGTCGCCGTCGCGGAGCACCTCGCGCACACGCTGGGTGGGGAGCAATGCGTAGCCCTGGACCTTGAGCACCTGCGTCGAGGCTTGCCAAACTGAGAAACTGCATTGGAGGGCCAAAGAGGCCAAAGAGGGGGGGGAAAGCTCCTGGGATGTTTGTTTGTATCAATATGTGCAGCTTCCCAGGTCTTGCTTCTGACTTCTGACGAGTCAAAACAAACTAAACAGTGTGCAAAAGCCCTGAGATGCCTTCAATGTTCTGTTTTCTTCTCCAAGATATCAGTCTCATCACTCAACATGGAAAAGTATCCCAGCTCTACATGGCCATGATTCCAACAAGCAACAGAAACAACATATCTTCCTTCAGCATGTTCTCTTCCAGCCAAGTGACGATCTTCTCCTCTTCCAGGCGCATCTGCACATGTTGCTGCAAATCCGCCACCAGCTCGCAGGACCGGGGCACCAAAAGCAGAACGCCCCGTCCTCGTCCCGAGCGCAGCTTCACGCGCAGCGGGCGCGTTTCCGCGCCCGCCATTCGGCTCGGTGCTGGAACGTCCGTGACTCTGTGGTCTGTGGCTTCTGGACGTTCGCAGCTGGAACAGAACGTCAAAATCAGGGCGAAACGGAACGTCAGTGACTTCTCTGTTGAGATTGCAGGGCTTCGGAACGGGGAAAAAGTTCTATCACCACCAGGCAAGGTCCATGTTGCCTTGCTTTGGATTTTAGGGGGGGTTTCCAGCTGGTTTTTGGGGCCTTGGGCTGTGTCAAGTTCCGACACCAGTCTTCACATCAGCTGCGAATTAGGAGGGGTCTGTGAATCTCTGTGTCATTGAGTGGTCTCTGTGTGAACCCCCAAAAAAATTGAAAATTGCAGAACAGCAAGAGACCCAAGTGATAGAAACACCTGAAAAGCCTCAAATACGCAAACTGTAGACTTGGAATGACTTGGAATTTGTTTCTATGTTGGGGGTGATATCAAGAAGGCTGCTGCTTTCATCTCAAAATCGCCGTTTGCCTCTTTTCTGATTCTGAGCCAAAGACTCAAGGACATTGCCGGAGAGTGGTGAAGTTGTACTGATTCTCTCTGGGTGACATGCCAAAGTTTCACATGCCGCACACGCATTAGCTTGTTCCAACATGTGATTGTTTCCGTGAATACATACGATTTCTCCTCCTGCAGCTGGAGCACACTAACCAGGGGCTGCGTAAGAGCCTAATTCCCTCCGGCACTGCAGAAATCTCACTGATGGTCAAGATGTGGATTCCACAGAAAAAAAAGTCGGGAGTTTGCTTACTCATTCAAGCCACGTGCGACACTCATCAAGCCACCCAACATTGACGTAAATTGAACATTTTCCAGTAAGTTCAATGGAAGCGTACACACTTCGCAGCACCCACTTCCCAGTTCAATTGAACATTTTTTCTATGCACCCACTTCGCAATGGAAATACGCTTCCACACTCGTCGCGCGAATCGCCAGCACCACTCGTCTCCGTGCCTTTGACGCGCTGGCAGCTTTGGCCTTCGCAGCAGTCCTGGGACGGGACCCACTACCGGCATGGCTCGAGCATCGTGTCGAAGACACTTCATGGATATATACTTCAATCTTTGCCTACAAATTCCTATAAGTAAGATATATGCCTTGGGGTGGCTTGAGGGGGTTCTTGAAAGCCAATAAACCAATACAACAGGCGGATTCGGCTTGTGATAATGGTATAACTACAAACAGTTGTCATAAGTATCCATGAACCTGTTAGGACCTAGGGTTGTTAGGGAAGTAGGTGAGACACAAACTTTGGCAGGGTTTCCATTGAATCACATCTGAAGGTCTTGTGAAGTGTCGAACTCTGTTTGTAAAGGTGAACATATACCAATTTGCCAATATGACCACCCTGTTCTCTAAACGATAGCAATTGATAGGCAAAGCAACACCTGTTTCAAGTTCATATCAGATTCGTGCCCCACAGCAAACCATGTCCAAAGCAGTTCCATCCCCAACCAAAAGACATTCTTCCGCCAGACCCGCACCGTTACAATTTTCGTGGAACCAACACACACGTGTGCTTCTGAAGCGGGTTCTACCTTGGTGCTTCTCAAGTGGGCCAATTGTGCCGAGGAAACCCGCAAAACAAAGGTCAATCTGTGACCCAGGAAAGAATTGCCAGTTCCCCGATGCAATTCATTGTAGCTATTTGACTGAGATTGGAAAAAAGTACATATGTATATATATATATATTTGTAAACCCTTCACCAAAACTGGATCCCAAACTGTTGCTTGCGGGCTTTGGGCGTGCTGCCGGACTCTGCTTATACATTGTGTCTTGGTTGGCTTCAGCCTTCACACTACCTTTTCATACTAACACGAACAGGCCTTAAACCCTAAACCAATCACCCCAAGTTGCTTTTAGTTGGCAAACAAACACACATGCACCATGACCCTGGTCTTCTTGTTGGAGGGTTGTTGGTTGGTCCCTAAAAGGTTTCCAATCGTGACCTGTTGCTTGAACCACGCTGTTTCGATGCTTCGGCGACTTCCTCACACCGACCTGAACACCTTTCTGAGTGCCCCCTGCAAGAGGGCCAGGTCAGCATTTTGCCGCGCGGCCAAGGGGCTTCCGTCCGGACCAGCCTGCAACGACAAGAGCGGAACCCAACTGAAGGAAGACATGCTGCAAGAGATTTTTCCATCATACCAGCACCTTCCAATGGGGTTACCAATGGAAGCCCTCACGCTACCTATGGATCTCCAGACAGGACACCCCGACAGTGTCAGGTCCAGATATATAATGTTAGCAGGCTCTTGATGTTTCAATCCAAATGGTCCAAATGGGCGCGCTTGGATTATGATTAATCAAGAGACTACTACACAAACATCATATACAAATATATAATATATACAATATACATCAATATACTGTATACCAAACCGTTTTTCCTTGCGAGGACGCAAGATGGTGGGTTGACACCCCCCGTCTCCACCGTAGACCACCCCCGTCTCCTGGTCCAACACCGACTGTGGGAACAAAGAAACGGTCTCCAGGTATCCACCGTGCTCCACCGTGCTTCAAAGGGACTGTGTCCCTAAAGGTGTGTCATGGTGGGTCCCCTAATCTCTAAGAAAAGTTTAGTCTTGACACAGCAAATGTCCTAAACACCCATCTCCACCTCCAACAACTTGCCATTCTCCGGATCAAACCGCCAGGATGGCCTCTAAACCCATAGGTCTACATAGGTCTACCAGTCCAGGACCTCCTGACCTCCGGTCTCCGCCCCCCCCGCTCTGTCTCACTCACCGTCCGTTCCGGTCGAGAGTCGGACCGGCGCCTTTTCATCCTCCGACTCGGAGCCGCTGTCGCTCCCGCCCGCACCTGACGGCACCGACGGTCGGGCTCCCGGCGCCGGACCTGTCGGTGACACGTCCCGGAGCGAGGTTGGAGGGATGTAGGCCCGGAGCGTTTCCCTCCGGAATGAACGGATGTTAGACGAACGATGGTAGCCTCCGGGGTAATTTAAAAAAAAAAACACAGTTTCTGTCAAGCGTTGCTTCAATAAATGGGAAGCACCACATCAAGACGTGACGCGAGAGAGGTCGGAGAGGCCCCAATCTGCCCAAAAGCTCTGAAGATGAAAACCATTGAAAACCTATCAAAGCCAGGGCCAGCTGCCTTGAACGGAGAGAGTCAGAGAGAGACATCAAATGGCACTTCTAACATGGCAAGAATCCAAACGGTCACAGTCACCCCACCTGCGCCATCCGGACGTTCAATCCTGAGTTGATCACTTTGGCGAAGGATGGTCACGATCATACAGGCGGACACACAGGTTGCTCATTCATCCATGTTCATTCCATGTTCTTTCATGTCATGATTCATGTAATTAAAAAAAAAAAAACAACAAAAAAACATAGTGTAGGTTTTATCGCATGTGTTTACGTGTGTGTTTCTTCAATTGTCGTATCTTGACACTAGGTTTGCCCCTTTCTCTTGGCCCAACAACACCTCTAAGCCTCATGCTGTAGTGTCAGTGGTCGTTGCTTCAGCAAGGCCTGTTGAAAAAAAAGAACACGCGGCAGCGGGCGGGGGGGCCCATCATGGCAATCTATGATGTCCTTTTGGAAGTTCGGCTGGTTTAGTACCATCTACCAACCTTGGTTCTACACCTATTCGGGCATCCCCTCTATTCATTCACCAATACAGTAAAAGGGCCCCAAAGGGCGAACGGAGATGGGCATGGGCCAGCTCAGTCAGGATGCACCAGGGAAGTGAATTCATCAACCAAGGGACCAATGACACTACATGTGTTGTTTTTGGATCACGGAGAAGCATCTCTTCAATAAAACTGTTGGATGGATGGACACCTCAGCAATTTCCTAGATCCCTAAGAAAAGGTAAACACCCTTCATATCTCCACCGATCGTGCAACTTGTTACAAATCACCTCAACAGAAGACTCAAAACACCTGCTCAGTCGATGTCGCAACCGCCGAGGGTTTGCCAACACCAAATGATGATTTGCCGAGGTGTCTCCGATTCGCACCATGCTTTGCCCAGCACTCTGTGATCAAGATCCACTTCTTCTCTCCGCAGTGTCAACAAAAACTGCCACTTGTCACTTGACTACTAAATCCAGTTCCTCTTCCAGTTCCAGAGACCTCTTCCAGTTCTTGTGATCACTATAGAGAAATTGGAACAACAAAGACCGGCAAGGGACTCATTTGCGACACCAAATCGGACTCATTTGCGACACCACCACCCCCCTGTATTCCTCTCATGTACGACACCAAATCTCTCTCATTCGCGACACAGACACATGCACACATATGACAGCAAGCATTAGGTTGGGTGGGACATTAGGTTGGGGTGGGGTGGGGTGGGGCATTAGGTTGGGTGGGGGGGGGGGGTGGGGTGGGGCGTTAGGTTGGGGGGGGGGGGGGGGGGGGGGGGGTGGGGGGGGTTTAGGGGTGGGGTGGGACATTAGGTTGTTGGGCTTCAGAGTTTAGAGTGGCATTTGGTGGAATTGGTGTGGAGCTGGATTGGAGCTTTATGACTTTATGAGAACCAAGCAAGGGCCCAGAAGCACACAGATTCTCTAAAAGAAAAGCTCTCCGCGTCACAACTGAGAAAAGCTCTTCGCGTCACATTCGAGACAAAAAAACGCGTCACAACCGAGACCCTTTCCCAAAGACCTCTTCCAGTTCCTGAGGTCGCCCAGAAACTCCGGCCACGCGTAGAAAGCGCCGCGTAGCTCGAGCGCCGCTCGCCACGGCACGACGCCTTCAGCTCTTCCCGCGTGGGTCGGCCAATGGCGACCTCACACCGAGCCGAACAAAGGGAAGCCCCGATGGCCACCGTGAGCTTCGTGACTGGTTGAAGAAACCCCTCACCTAGGCCCATGGCAGAATGCCGTCGAATTCGCCGCACCACGATTCGAAGGACTTGACCCATCACGGCTAAGAGACCCCCGATTAAAGAATAGAAAATAGAACTACTCAAGCCGTTCATGCAGACTCTTGATTTAATAAAATTCATCTCGGTGTTCAGAATAGTTTCACCGCTCTAGGCAGTGTTTGTTTTCATGAAACTATCAGTCTACATTTTTGGATGTTCTAGGTGTTTGTTGGATG